AAAAAAAAACTCCAGCCAGGACTCAGCCGAAGATGTTGAAGAAGCTGGTGCTCTACCAAGATCGTCCGCCTCAAGCACTTCTGCCTTGCGTAAGGATTCAGAGGAAACCTCTGCGGCCGCTGAGGTTGAGAAGGGATGCGTGTCTTCAGATGGTGGGGCCGAGAGTGAAGAAATCTGCCCTCAGAGTGATGCAGGAAGTGACCCACAAGGCACCAGTGACAAAGCGGACGATGCAGAAGCGACTTCTCTGGAAGGGAACTCCTCTGACAGCATCGTCGACAACAAACCTGAGCCAGTCCCTGAAGCTCCAGCTGAACCAAGGAAAATCACCTATCCCCAAATCGTAAAAGAAGGGCGGCGGTTTAATATCGATTTAATTTCTAAGGTAAGGGACTTTACTACATTTTTCTGTTCTGAAAAAAAAAAGAAGAAGAAGTCGCTCCTGCTATATAGTTCTCGACTTACCGACTGCAACGGAGCCCAACATTTCTGTTGCTCCCCGAGACATTTGTTCAGGGGATGTGCCCCGCTTTACGCCTTTTCTTACTACAGTTGTTCAGCGAATCGCTGCAGTTGTTGAGCTAGTCACACGGTTGCCAAGTGAATCTGGCTTCCTCATCGGCTTTGCTGGTCCGAAGGTCGCAGAAGGGGATCACGTGACCGCGGGACACTGGAGCCGTCATAAATGTGGGTCAGTTGCCGAGCGTCCGAATTTTGATCACTTGACCACGGGGATGCTGCAAAGGGGGATGCTGTAAGTGTGAAAAACGGTCCCAAGTCACTCTTTTCAATGCCGTTGTAACTTTGAACGGTCACTAAACGAGCTGTTGTTAAGCCGAGGACATTATGCAATAAATAATAATAATTGAGCACCCTCAAACATCCCCATCTGCCTATCCCACATCCTTGGGAAGGACTCCTCTCTAGGTGGGTGAAAACGCCAGATCCAGTCTGAACACCCAGCTAACTGTGACAAACAAAAAAATTACAATTAAAAGATGAGGAGGAAGGGAGCAAAATGCACAGAGAGAGAGATATTATCTTCTCTTAATCCGATAGGCATCTCCAGAGCGACGCACCCTCCTTGGGGTCCCAAGTCAACTGGCAGAGCCAGGTCTTCAGGTCCTAATCCTAAGTGAATCTCACAATAGGTCTTATTTCCCAGATAGGATTTCTGGGTTTGTAACAGAATAACAAAATGAAATTCAATGGTGAAAAAAGTAAGGTTCTACATTTAGGCAAGAAAAACCAAATGCACAGGTATAGTATAGGGGGTAGCTTGCTCAATAGTAGTAACTGTGAGAGGGACCTCGGAGTCCTAGTGGACAATCACCTAAATATGAGCCAGCAGTGTGCTGCAGCTGCCAAAAAGGCCAACACAGTGCTGGGCTGCATTAACAGAGGGATAGAATCAAGATCACGTGAAGTATTAATACCACTTTACAATGCTTTGATAAGGCCACGCTTGGAATGCTGCATCCAGTTTTGGTCACCACGATGTAAAAAAGATGTTGAGACTCTAGAAAGAGTACAGAGAAGAGCAACAAAGATGATTAGGGGACTGGAGGCTAAAGCATATAATGTTTAACTGGATGGGTATGGAATCTAATCTCGATTTAACTAACCCCGTCAAGCCACAGTTTACTCAGAGCTCTCTCCATGGTCCTGTGTTGGCCTGTTGCCATCCATGATCTTCTGCCCAAGATCTGGACAAGGCACAGCGTGGATTTGGGAAGTGAATTCCGCTCTATCTCTCTGGCCTTTCAAAGTTGTCTCCTTGTGATTCTGACTACTTTGAGAATGATGGCCTGTTGTAACTAACATTCTCCAGTGGAGCATTGCCTTTTCAAAGTTAGGTCATCCATCTTGTGCGCGGATTTTTTTTACATTCATTGTCCTTCCAAGAATGTATAATAAATTTGCAGCTTATACAAAGCGAGCAAAGGTATTAGAAGATTAAGTTTTATGGCTTCAACTTGTAACCCTTTGCAGGCTTGCTGGATTATTGAAGAAATAAAGGCAGCCGTTAAGTTTGGAGCCCAAACACAAAAATCAGGAGAGACGGGGTAGAAAGGATATGTGGAATATTAGAAAGAGGATTGAAACCCCTGAAAGTCTGATCAAATATATCAAATATATTCTTCCAGAATACATATTCTAGATATTTTTTTTTTTATGATTTGAAGAGGTGTACGAGTGTCTCAAATATCTCCAGGAAGAATCTTTTTAATTTACTTCCAGATACTTTTTGATTTGATTAGTTCCAGGTGCAGATAATCCTTGACTTACAACCAAGAGTTCATTTGGTGACTGTTCGAACGTCGCTGAAAAAAGTGACTTATGATCGTTTTTCACACTTATGACCGTTGCCGCATCCTTACGCTCACATGATCAAAAGTCAAGATGCTTGGCAGCTGACTCATAGTTATGACGGTCGCGGCGTCCCGGGGTCACGTGATCCCCTTTTGCGACCTTCTGATAAGCAAAGTCAATGGGCGAACCAGATTCACTTAACGACCGGATTACTCACTTAACTGCAGTGATTCACTTAACCACCGTGGCAAGAAAAGTCGTAAAATGGGACGAAACTCACTTAACTGTCTCGCTTAGCAACAGAAATTTGGGACTCAATTGTGGTCGTACATCAAGGACTTACCCAGGGGTAGGCAACCTTGGCTCTTTTATGACTCGTGGACTTCAACTCCCAGAATTTCTGAGCCAGCATGGCTCAGCTTTGAAACCTCTCCCTTTCCCCTCAGCATGGCTGGCTCAGGAATTCTGGGAGTTGAAGTCCACGAGTCATAAAAGAGCCCAGGTTGCCTACCCCTGGACTTACCTGTAGTTTCTCTGAATTCTAAGAGTGCCTTTCCAGTTCTTTTCCTAGTGGAATAATATTGCTTTGCAGAAAAATATGACTTCGGTAGTGTCCTTTCAGCCTTCGAGGTTATTTCCCCCAGCTGTGTGGGGCGGTGGGATAGGGGGGCATATTTACTGCTACTTTTCAAAATGTCATTATTTATTTTTAAGACTGTTTGCCTTCTCTTTTCTTTTCCATCCAGTTCCTCAGCCAGAAGATCCACTTTTCCCTTACAAAAAAGCCTAACGTTCTTCCTTGGTGAGGAAGAAAAGTTTTATTTAAAGAATGGTCGTATTTTCTTGGAAGAATTTGTAAATGTTCTTTTTTTCCCCGCAGCTCCTCTATTCCCGAGGATTGCTGATTGACCTCCTCATTAAGTCCAATGTCAGCCGATATGCCGAGTTCAAAAATGTGACTCGTATTCTTATATTGAAAGATGGCAGAGTGGAAGAGGTAACGCTAATCAGTCAAATGACAAAATTGACTGATTGGAAAGCTTTTTTATGTATGTATGTATGTAGGTATGTATGTATGTATGTTTAGAGTTAATAAGTGCTTAATAAACAATGTGTTGTCTGGGTCTTAGCTGGATAGCATATAGTGAAATCCCCATTTTTCCAGCCATTGGTAAAATACATCCCATATTTGAAAATGTTCTGTGTCTTCTTTTTCTTTAATCTTCAACGTGAGTCTATCCATTTCTGCACATGCCAGTATTTTCTTAATTATGTCAGCGTTTCTGAGCCCTGGCGGCACGGTGGTTAGAATGCAATATTGCAGGCTGACTCTGCCCACTGCCAAGAGTTTGATCCTGACCGGCTCACGATTGACTCAGCCTTCCATCCTTCCGAGTTCGGTAAAATGAGAACCCAGATTGTTGGGGACAATACGCTGACTGTGTAAACCGCTTAGAGAGGGGCTGTGAAAGCACCATGAAGCAGTATATAAGTCTATAAGCTACTGCTATTGTCACAAATGTGATTCTGATAATTCCCTCCTCTTCCATCTCCTTCAGTATTTATTTATTTGTTTATTTATTATTTCTTAACCGCCCGTCTTCCGCCCATCTTCCTTGGGCGGAGTGCAATATAATACAACCGATAAATAAAGCAACGTATAAACATTAAAATTTAAAATTAAAATTAGGATTTTTTTAAAAAAAAAATATATAGAACCATGACAATTAAAATCAAAAGGGGAAAAAATCTTAAAATGGCCATTTAACGTTGAATTATTACAGGCATGGCTATCAAGGCACTAGCCACCCTCATGGTTGTGTGGTCCCTCCGTGAAGGAATTCTGTCGTTGCTATCGCTTTGCTTGAGCCAAGTGGAAAAGGGAAGATGACCCCAAACTCTTGTTTCAGGTTCCATGTTCCAGAGCTGACATTTTCAATAACAAACAGCTGACGATGGTGGAAAAAAGAATGCTGATGAAATTTCTGACCTTCTGCCTGGATTTTGAACAGCGCCCTGATGAATACCAAGGTTAGTGTCTTTCGTTGAACAGTGAAATCCTCTTGTCTCCTTATTTTTTCGATGAATGGAACCTCTCCGAACACCTCTTGATCCTTTGTATCATGGGAGCAGGTAAGGAAGCGCCAGGTGGCTGGAGTTCCCAAGAGCTTTATATTGTTGGGTGGCTTTTGTGGAGATGTTCTGACCATTCATGATGATGGTGGAGACCTATTGACAACTCTTGAGCTCAGTCTGGACATTGGCATTCTTGTTGGCCAACCCTAGATCTGAAGTGATGATCTTGGTACCTTGGAATAAGATAAGACAGAATGGTTGCTAAGCAATCAGTTGGAAGTAAAGGACTACCTGTAACCGAGCACCTTGTGTTTTCTTGACATACATAAAGATGGTCATACTGAAATTACTCCTCTTCTGTTCTCTTCCCCTCCTCTCCCCTACCTTTTTCTCTTCTCTTTTCTTCTCTTCTCTTCTCTTCTCTTCTCTTCTCTTTTCACCTTATCTCACCTTTCTCCTCTCCTCTCCTCTCACCTCACCTTTCTCTTCTCTTCTCTTTTCACCTCACCTTTCTCCTCTCCTCTCCTCTCCTCTCACCTCACTCTTCTCTTCTCTTCTCTTCTCTTCTCTTCTCTTCTCTTCTCTTCTCTTCTCTTCTCTTCTCTTCTCTTCTCTTCTCTTCTCTTCTCTTCTCTTCTCTTCTCTTCTCTTCTCTTCTCTTCCCTTCCCTTCCCTTCCCTTCCCTTCTCCTGAGACAGCTCAGAAGGACGGCAAGTTTGCTGATTATTTAAAAACCCAGAAGTTAACTCCCAACCTGCAGCATTTCATTCTGCATTCCATTGCAATGGTCTCTGCGGCCGATTGTTGCACCATAGACGGTCTGAAGGCCACTCAAAAATTTCTGCAATGCCTCGGGCGCTACGGCAACACCCCCTTCTTATTTCCTTTGTATGGCCAAGGAGAAATCCCTCAGTGTTTTTGTCGGTAAGTGTACCTCCTCTCTCTCTCTCTCTCTCTTCTTTTTTTTTTGAAGCACTCTAGTACATTTAAAAAAAAACATCTTTCTCATTTTCCTTTTGACACATTTTTAAGTGTTTGAGTGGAAAATATGCATCTGCTGGTAGGCCTTTTGTTGCTTTGGACAGAAGTCGAAAAAGTGGCTCTTAGTTGGCCAACCCTTGATACTTTAGAGCAGGGTTCCCAAACCTTGGCAACTTTAAGCTGTGTGGACTTCAACTCCCAGAATTCCTCAGCCATGTGAACCTGGTTGTTGTGGCTTATTTAGCACATTGTGGTTAAAGCAAACCATGGCTTAGCATATATCTTCACATGTTATAGTGTCACCTAGTAAACTTCGGTAGAACAAGTAGAGAACAGCATTGGTACCATGGGCCATTGGCAGCAGACTGACAAATAATAATAGTAGTAGTAATAATAATAATAATAATAATAATAATAATAATAATAATAATAATAATAATAATAATAATAATAATCAACATCATCATCATCATCATCAAGAAAGAAACAGAAGGCTTAATACTGGCTGCTCAAGAACAAGCACTACACACTAATGCCATGAAAGCGAAGATACAAAAATCCACCGACAATCCAAATTGCCGACTTTGCAATGAGAAAGTTGAAACTGTTTCACACCTAATTTGTGAGTGCTGCAAAAATCGCGCAAACCGACTACAAAGCTAGACGTGACTGAGTTGCTAAATTAATCCACTGGGCATTGTGTAAAAAAATACGACTTGCCTGTGTCCGAAAAGTCGTGGGAACCTAGGATGGAAAAAGTTGTTGAGAATGAGAGGGTGAAGATCTTGTGGGACTTTCGAATACAGACAGACCGCCCTTTGGAACACAACACGCCGGATACCGCAGTTGTAGAGAACCGAAGCGTGCAGCTGATTGACATCGCTGTACCAGGAGATGCCAGAGTCAAAGAAAAAAAACTGGAAAAAAATTATGAAATATTGCGACCCGACCATGATCTCCTTTTGCGACCTTCTGACAAGCAACGTCAATGGGGGAAGCCAGATTCACTTAACAACCATGTGACAAACTGAAGAACTGCAGGGATTCACTTAACAGCGTGGCAAGGAAGGTTGCCACGTTGAGCCGAATTCATTGAACAAATGTCTCGCTTAACGATGGAAATTTCAGGGCTCGGTTGTGGTCGTTAAGTCGAGGACAGCCTGCACCTTGGTGGGTGTTTCCCAGCTCTGCACGGTCCGTAAGATTCCCAGGCCTGGCGTTTAACCGGTCTACCAAGGGGCAACGTTTTTTTGCCTATACATTATATAACAACAACAACAACAACAACAATAATAATAATAATAATAATAATAATAATAATAAAGTTGGAAGGGACCTTGGAGGTCATCCAGTCCAACCCCCTGCTCAGGCAGGAAACCCTATACCATTTCAGACAAATGGCTGTCCAGTCTCTTCTTAAAAACCTCCAGTGTTGGAGCATTCACCGCTTCTGGAGGCAGGTGGTTCCACTGGTTAATTGTTCTAACTGTCAGGAAGTTTCTCCTTAGTTCTAGGTTGCTTCTCTCCTTGATCAGTTTCCATCCCTTGCTTCTTGTCCTTCCTTCAGGCGCTTTGGAGAATAGCTTGACTCCCTCTTCTTTGTGGCAGCCCCTAAGATACTGGAACACTGCTATCATGTCCCCTCTCGTCCTTCTCTTCCTTAAACTAAACATACCCAATTCCAGCAACCGTTCCTTATATGCTTTAGCCTCCAGTCCCCTGATCATCTTCGTTGCTCTTCTCTGTACTCTTTCTAGAGCCTCAGCATCTTTTTTACATTGTGGTGACCAAAACTGGATGCAGTATTCCAAGTGTGGCCTTACCAAGGCATTGTAAAGTGGTATTAATACATCACAGCCTCCCCTTTTTTTATCGCCAGGTTATCGGAATAAGGTGTCACTTGCCCTATGATTTCTAACCGCCTCTTCATATTCTGTTTTAATGTAACCCTCTTCCCCGTTCCTCGCACTCAAGTTATCCTGGGCGTTCTCATCAAGGCTACCGTTATAAATGGCACGCATGCATATTTATGTGAACGGTTCAAAGACATCTGTAAGTCACATCCTTGCATTCCGAATGAGCTGGGTATCAACTCTGCCATGTTCTGGAGAACTGGGGTGGTCCCTGAAGGGTCATGTAAAACCAGCAGTTATTCTGAAGCAGTTGTGAGCCAAACGACGACGTCTCCTTTTTTTATTGCTCTGTAATTCCCAAAGGTGCTTTTTTTTAGGAGGCAACTGGACTTTTTTTTAAATTTTCTTTGAAGACGTTTCGCTTCTCATCCAAGATGCTTCTTCAGCTCTGACTGGAGGACGGGGAATGGAAGGATTTATATTCCTTGCGGACAGCCGGTCATTTGCATTTGAATATACAGTAGTGGCCAAAATTGTGGAAACCTTTTGGGAAAAGTGTACAGTAGAAATGCCACCTTTGGTTAAGTTTCCACCCATTTTTCTTCTAGTTTTTTAATAACTATAGCCTTGTTCACTTAATAATAGTATTTTACATCGCTTTCTGGGCGGCCAGTCAACTCTTTGCACCATTACTTTAATTTTATTACGTTTTACAAGCTCACTAAATGAAAGAACACAAAAAAACCCAACCAACTGGAGAGCGATCACATAACACACCGACAAACGTCCTCCTCTCAGCTTCAATACATGACATCGATAACCGAATCCTACTGTGATCTGATTGGCTCATTGCCAAAACAAGATGACACCTGATTGGCTCTCTAAACACTCATGCTCATTGGCTACAATCAGATGAAGGAAAGCTACCTGATGTCAACCTAAGCAAGTTGTGTTTCCTTTCTCTGGTTATTTGGCTAACACTTTTCATAGAGTACAGTACAGAGAATTGAACAAGCTATGTTGCATTACATTCTTGATTAAATTATCTTTCCATTGATATATAATTTTATGGTACTACTCCAAAAGAAAAAGTGGTGCTATTAGCCATCAAACTTCAAAAATACACTTTCCCCAAAAGGTTTCCACAATTTTGGCCACTACTGTAAATCCTTCCATTCCCCACCAACCAGTCGGAGCTGAAGAAGCTTCTTGGATGAGAAGCAAAACATCTTCAAACCCAAACAAGGAAGTCCAGTTGCTTCTTAAAAGCAAATATGTCTTCTCCATAGACATATTGCTCTGTAACTTCCACAAACAAAGGTGCCCATTTTTAGATGCAGAGCTCATCAAAATGGAATTTATGCCCTGACAGTCACTGTTTCTTCACCTCTGCTTGTTCAGTCCTGGTTGGAGATCTAACCAATACGTAGTTTCTTCCTGATGAATGGGTTTCTTTTTCATGTCTGAGTGAATTGGATCCTTGGATTCCTTTCCTTTGATGGAACGAGTCTCCCTTCAGTGGAGGGTGGGAACTTCTGACAACTTTATGGTGGGGTTCAAAATACATTTTGGCAATCAAAATGAAAGCATTCCATTGTTCCAAAAGAGGGACAGTCAACTGTTTTTTCTTCCTGGAGGCTGTTTTTCTTGTCTCCTGCCCTATTGGTCCCCAAAACCACACAAAAAGATGTTTGCATGTTTCTAGAGTACAGAAGAAGGACTTGATGTTTAGAGAAAAGTCTCTGAATCACTTATCTGTCGTGGAAGTATTCTAAAGAATAATAACGCAATGCTGATTCGCAAGGTTTAGCCCGAGCACAGTTAAGATCAGATGGTTGTGGTTAGAAGCTTAGGGCTGAACGGTGGCTTCCTTAGTGCTCTCTTAGCTTGGTTGTTTCATGAAGTTGTCTCATTACCCAACTAGGGAACATCATCAATGCTAGAAGGCAGGGAGGTTGCAGGGAGGAGGAGGAGGAGGACTTGGGGTCCTTGGTGCTCTCTGAGTTTGGTTGTTGTAGACATTTCATGATCCAACTAGGAAACATCATCGGTGCTAGAAAGGAGTGGGGTTTGTGGAATGGAGGAGGAGGAGGAGGAGGAGGAGGAGGAGGACTGTGGGGTCCTTGGTGCTCTCTGAGCTTGGTTGTTTCTTTGCAGACGTTTCATAATCCAACTAGGGAACATCATCAGTGCTAGTTGATAATAGGTAATGAAATGTCTGCAGCAAAAGAACCAAGCTCAGAGAGCACCAAGCACCCCAATGTACTGCGTTCTTCACAGCTGAAAAATAAGTCCCAGCAAAGGTATGTCGGAGTGATGCTCACCTCTCTTGTTTCCTAAAGGAGAAGCCGCAGTATGTATGGTGGGTTAAGGTTAAGGGCTGGGAATGTTCCTGGATCTCCAGTTTGATGCGGATAATCCTAGATAGCATTCAGCTTTTGCCAAGACTAAGGTCAAGAAGCTCTCTTGATATTTGATTTCTCCTTTTCTTTCGCCTCAATGTAAGATGGCAGTGTTTTTTTTAATTGTTTGACTGCAACACATAACTCAGGCCCCAAAGATAGCTAGCGAAAAGTAGAGAATCTTAGCTAACTTGGTTTCTTGGTCCAAACAAATCTTTTAATTCAGCCTTCTCCAGCCATGCTAGACTTCTTCTCATCACCCCAGACAATCCTGGCCCTGCCACCACCTATTTGAAGATCCAAAGTGCATTAAGGCTGATTTTAATCGCGAGCCCGCATGTTTTAATGTGTTAGTTCTATCCGTCTACAAACATAAGACCTCCTCCCCGTCTCTGTATATTCTTGGCTTTGCAGATATGCAGAGGTGTTAATTGGCAATTTAATAATAAATGGCACCCAATTTCAAGCATGATGAAAATCTTCATCACCAGTTTTAAGGAGCCAATTTGCATTCTGCGTGCGTCTCACGGGCGGAAGGTAGAGGGGAGAACAGAGTGGTAGCCCCACATGGAGCTGCAGAAAGAAGAAACTTAGTGGATGGTGATGGTGAAGGGGGCGGGGTGTGGGGGTGAGTGGCCAGGACATCAACGCAAAATGGAACAAATTGAATTCAAAGTAGCTTCTGAAG